TATATATATATATATATATATATATATATATATATTAGACAACAGAGGAAACATTAATTAACCCAATAACACTGTAATCAAACACCATTCTGCAGCTCAGTTGGGTGTCTTGGCAGAAAATAAAATAATTTTGCATTTCTTAATGTTTTCTTAGGAATGAGTGAGCTTAACTAAAGTGCATATTTACATTTTTAAAATTAAGTCAGTTCTATTGTGTTGCTGGTTCTCTCCATATATACCCCCCCCCCCCCCCCCTCTTTTTTTGGCACACAACCCCCTTTCATTAGAACCCATGTCTAACCTTATGATTAATTATAGATTTTAAGGCCTTTTCAAAGGACTATTTCTGTAAAGAGATTTTTGAAGTCATTTTGCAAATTGATATGTAATACCCTTCACATGCACATGATTAGCAATGAGATGCATATTTAATGAGGGTTTAATTCATTTAGGGTTAAGAGGATGTGTTTGACGAGGCCGTGGAGTTGCGCAAATTAATATCTGTACCATTTTCATTTTTAAAGTATTTTTAAAGTCATATAGACAGTGTCTGTAAATGTGTCCTTGCAAGGTTTCACAAGCAATTTTGAGTGCCATGTGATTGATGTGTATGGCAAGTGGGGCAAAATCTGTTTTTCTTGTAAAGTATTAGAAATCCTAATATGGGAAATTGCTCATGAAATCATTACCCAGCCCCCCATTTGTTTTAATTTCCTCTAAGTGAATTTCCATATTCTCTTAGACTGACCAGATGTTCAGTATTCACCAAATTGCTTAACCCGCTGTAAGTAAATGGGGAATGATGTAAAATAGGCTTAAATCCACCTAATCCTTCTATCTCTGTTAGGAAAATATGTTTTGTCCTAGCGGTGCAGCCATTTTGCCGAAAGATATGTGTATGTAACTATGTTGTATGCAGGGTGTCTTACTCATTGCAAAACATCACTGTGGGATGATGTGACTTCCTGTGTGCCTGTCTATACTGTCTCTCAGCCTGCTGGCTGTTTCAGGGTCACGGTTGCGGGTCACTACAAGTGTTTGTGGCCACATGTGGCGCTTGAGATGAATGAGGTAAGGCGTAAGGGCTTCCATAAAACACAGGAATCACTTTTGCCATATTTTTTATGAAGTGTAGCTTCTGTATAGCCCAAAACCTGTGTGGTTGTGTCCCTTCCTACTCTTGGTTAAACCCTTACATTGAATGTGAGTGCTACCATCCAACATTTACCCAGCTGTTGTTGGCTTTTTATACTGATATAATGTTACAGATTTGGCTCAGTCGAGACATGTTTTGACTGAGCCCAAAAAGAGACATGACCCTGTCCAATAATTCTGTTCATCCGAGCCAGTTCAGTAACAAACACGATACAGGCAGAGGAGAATATCTGTCCACTCATTCTGTTCAATTACTGGCATCTAAACATCTTCTAAAGTTCTACTCGTTTTTGTTGTGTTATCATTTTTCTCCATTGCTGGTGTTTCAAATCCGTAGGTCAATTAGAAAACGGAGAATGTTGTTGGTGTTGTTTGCGGTCACGTTCTGAGTCATCGTGAATAACATCTTTCATGCGGCATTTAAAAACCAGACAGTACAATAAATTATGTTGTTAAATAAGACTGGCACACATCTGCTAGAGTCAG